ATCATTGACCTTTTGCGTTTTTTAATTTCGAATACGAGCGTTATCCTGTTTATATTATCGTGAATATTACTTTCGAAAGAAAGATTTCGTCACAGAGCTGCGCGAGTCTGCAACTTATATAAGAGATGGAGCTCTTTATTTAACATTTATCTATAACAATATTTGCTTACTCTGCCCGAGGCATCGCGTTATCTTATTTTCTATTTATTCGCGGAGTCGAACGTATCGGGTATTTGATTTCTTTTTTAAATACAATACACTCGAGTACGTTTTCGCCGAGTTCCCTCACAAATATGCATTAGGATTCCTCTTGGCTATCGGCACAATCCTTTTTGGTCGGTGTTAAACGTCGGCCGGCTTTTTTCCCCGATCGCTCGCCACGCCGTCGAATTCAACGAATTCCAAGCTCTGTCTTCTGGCTATTGTCATCGCCCGTCCGTATTAGCGCAGCGTCAGTGCGAGAGAGACCGAGGAGATTAATTAGGGACGATGCTTTAGCGGCAAAAATGGAGCAGGGGGGGGGGGGCGAGGCAAGAAGCGGTAGCATCAACACACAGCCGTCTCGAGTCGCGCTAACTAATCTGGCAACGCCACGGGACGATCGAATGGACCTCATCGCCCCTTCTCCATAAGAACGTGCTACAAATTAAGCCTGGATCGGTAGAAACCATCTCGAAAATTCAGCCGCCGGTTGTTGCTCCCTGTCCTTCCATTGTCTGTGCGCTCGTGGACGGGGACGGATGGTAGTAGCCTGAAGTGTTCCATTATTTTCGAGAAGGAATTTCCTATCGAGGGAACGTTATTCTACGTTAACTTGAAACAAGCAACGAATATATCTTCAAGTAAGATTACGCACAAACACTCGCCCGACTTTTCCATCGCGATATTGACATCCCTAATTTTCTTCTCGTACCTTCAAACGCGCGTACATGATTTCGTCATTTAATCGCGATTTATGTCGGAACAAATTCGAAACAGGCCTAATACGACGCGCGGACTCGACGCCAGTAGCCTCGTAAATAAAACGCAGTGATGTATTAATGTTTTGGAGGCAAAGACATATTTTACATAGGAATGTCGCCTCGTGAAATTTGTTCTGTTTAACACGCGTGGCGACGAAGCACCGTCTCATAAGAAAGCACCGGGTCGTTGTCCTCGCCATTGGGTACGTTTGGATCTCGCGAAGAATGATATCGATAAATCGGCTTTGCGTCACCTGGGCGAATCTCTTCTTTGGCAACGGTGGCAACAATTGCCGTCGGATTTATGGTGGCCGGCTGTTGTCATCGTGTCATTTGTTATATTCACCGCGTATTTTCTCGATAACGCTACACAGATACGCGGCCAACTCTCACACCTGCGCAATGCCCCATCGTGCGCGCCTCCAATTCTTTTAATCGTCAATTTATTTCTTCGCTTATACTTTCATCCGCTACTCCTATTTTCACGGCAGGCAAACTATTGGCATCCTCGTGAGAGAGAGAGAGCTGCGAGAATAACCGCAGTACGATCCGCGTGTTCCATCTGTAGAAGCTTGTTATCATTTTTAAGTTGGACGAGGTTTATTTTCTTTCCTAGTCAGAAAACGCTGACAGCGCTCGCTGCACAACTGGATTAGTAAAGAAAAACTCATTATTCTTGCAGCGCTCCGCGAGCTTGCCATTATCTAGATATCGA